TACTACCATGGTATCCAACAAGATGGGCTAACCGCCGAAGAAGTGAGCTTCGAAGAAGAAGATTTCGACATTAGCAATATTGCCGGAACTAGTAAGATTACCCGTAGCAGTAGAATCTTCTCTCCATAGATTGCCCCTCCAAAGGCAGTTTTTGGACCCGTGGCCGTTCCGAAGATTACCTCTGTACCAATAATCATACCTGCAAGTGCATCTACCAACAAAGACGACACGATCCCTACTGTTATCCCTACCAACACTTCTACTGCTGAAAATCGAGGAAAAAGCATTCAAGAGGAACCTGTCCGGACGAAGGCTCAACCACTAGCTATCCCAAAAACATCCAAGAAGGAAATGGAAGAGATCCTGAGGATAATAAAGAAGAGTGACTATGACGTGGTTGAACAGTTGGGGAAAAATCCCTCTAAGATTTCCATGCTAGCATTGTTGCTATGTTTTGAGGCACATGCGAAAGCTCTGGTGAAATTTTTGAAGACAACTCATGTGCCACAAGAGACGTCTGCTGACCAATTCCAATATTGTGTGGCCAGTTTGATAGTTGATAACGGCCTAGGCTTCTCTGATGCTGATTTGACACCAAAAGGAAGAAAACACAACGAGGCTTTGCATGTCTCCGTGGAGTGTAGAGGAACAACTCTGGCCCATGTCTTGGTGGACACGGGCTCATCTTTGAACGTCTTACCAAAGAAAGCTCTTGACAAATTGGATTGCAAAGGGCTGCCATTGAAACCCAGTAACATAGTTGTGAGAGCTTTTGATGGCTCAAAGAGGATGGTCCACGGGGAGGTGGACATCCCCATAAAGGTGGGAACTCAGACTTTCAACTCAACCTTCTATGTAATGGACATCCGTCCCTCTTACTCCTGTCTATTAGGACGACCCTGGATCCATAATGCTGGTGTTGTCACCTCTACACTACACCAAATACTGAAGTACCCGGTCCATGGAAAGATTATCACTGTCCACGGAGAAGAAGAGTAAATGATTAGCCACTTAAATTCTTTCTGATATGTGGAGTTGGATGGCGAGTTCATTGAAACTCCTTTTCAACATTTCGAAGAGGTCTTTCAAGAAATAGCAGTAACCAAGATGATATCCTCGATCCCCAAGATCACAAGACCTCCGCTTCAGATGTCATCTCTAAAGAACGCCAAGGCAGTAGTAGAAGAGGGTGGATGCACCATCTGGGGGCAGCTTCCGAACATCCCGTATAAATCAGACAAGTTCGGCTTGGGGTTTACTTCAACTGCTCAGAAGGCTGTGCGTCGTGCCCGTGCTGGAGGTCCACCTTTGAAGATTAGTAACCGAGAGGTCAACGCAGTGGAAGATGGTGAAGAGGATTGCCACTTGGAAGATTGGATATTTCCTACTGTCAACGGAGGACTTCGCAATTGGGAAGCCAGAGACTTTGTCCCAATAACTTTCATCTCTCAGTAATTTATCTTTTACATTTCTGTTGGACTTGTAATATTCACAAACAATTCGCACCTTAAAAACCTTGTGTCTTACCTGAGGCACAATGGTCCATTTGTAAGGGTTTTTATTTCATCTTCATATGATATTCAATGAATCATAGACGTTTTTTTCATATACAAACCTTTTGTGCTCATTGTCTTTCTTTTATATTTTATTGTTTAAAGATGTCTATACCCTTACACACACCCACACTCACAAATACATGCACCCCTCCATTCCGGATCCCATGGGTAACGATACTGCTATGGCCTTTAGTGACTCTGAAGATCTAATCTACCAAGCCGAATACGAAGGTGAGGAAGATTGTGAAGTACCAGGGGAATTGACCAGACTACTACAACAAGAGGAAAAAGCTATTCAGCCTTATGAGGAACCGTTGGATACAATCAACTTGGATACCGAGGAAGATAAAAAGGAAATCAAGGTAGGTACCAATCTAGAGTCGAGTTTCAAGGAGCGTTTGATTCAACTGTTGCATGATTATGTTGAGATCTTTGCCTGGTCATACAAAGACATGCTAGGACTTGATACAGATATCGTGGTACATCGTCTACCCACAAGAGAAGACTGTCCACCAGTGAAACAAAAAGTCCGTCATATGAGACCTGACATGTCAGAGAAGATCAAAGCGGAAGTCATGAAACAGTTCAATGCTGGATTTTTGGCTGTCACTTCCTATCCTCAATGGATTGCCAACATTGTTCCCGTGCCTAAAAAAGACGGCAAAGTACGAATGTGCATGGATTATAGAGATTTAAACAGGGCCAACCCTAAAGATGATTTTCACTTCCCCACATCCACATCCTAGTTGACAATACGGCCCAACACAAAGTGTTTTCCTTCATGGACGGATTCTCAGGTTATAACCAAATCAAAATGGCACCTGAGGACATGGAGAAAACTACATTTGTCACACAGTGGGGGACGTTCTGCTACAAAGTGATGTCATTCAGACTGAAGAATGCTGGGGCAACCTATCAACGTGCCATGGTAGCTTTGTTTCATGATATGATACATCATGAGATAGAGGTCTATGTAGATGACATGATAGCCCGATCACAAACTGAAGAGGAGCACCTTGATCATTTGCAGAAGTTGTTTGAGAGATTGAAGGAGTACAAACTAAGGTTGAATCCAAACAAGTGCACATTCGGAGTCCGGTCCGGTAAACTCTTAGGTTTTATTGTCAGCAACAAAGGCATCGAGGTTGATCCTGTCAAGGTTAAAGTGGTACAAGAAATGCCTGCTCCTCGTACTGAGAAGGAAGTCAGAGGATTCTTGGGACGCCTGAACTATATTGCCAGATTCATTTCTCACCTGACAGCTACTTGTGAGCCAATCTTCAAACTGTTGAAGAAAGATCAAGTAGTCAGATGGAATGATGATTGTCAGATTTCCTTTGACAAGACCAAAGAGTACTTACAAGAGCCTCCTGTTTTGATGCCACCAATCGAGGGAAGACCACTGATCATGTATCTGACCGTTTTAGAGAACTCAATGGGGGTGTGTATTGCGACAACATGACGAGTCTGGCCGAAAAGAGCACGCTATTTATTACCTGAGCAAAAAGTTTACCAACTGTGAAACCAGATATTCACTGCTCGAGAAAACTTGTTGCGCTCTAGTATGGGCTGCTTGCCGGCTAAGACAGTGATATGGACACTAAGTTATGTTCTCCTAGTGAACACGTGGGAAAAATGCCCAATAATCTTCAATTTGAACTGCACGCTTTTGAGCCTTTGTAAAGGCGCTGGATTAGACTTCCCCAACAGTGAGACAAGTGTCGATCCATTCCAGAACAATATCAAATTAAACACACTCATAAATTGATATGCTATCAAACTAGCATCAAATTAAATGTTGTATAGCTATACATCTCAACCATATCAATAAGTTATATACAATTCTAACTAATCTGTGATTGAGATAAGTATAAACCTATGAACACTTTAGTGTAATATATGTATACATTTAGTGTTTAGAGATTGATACTCTTATTCTAGACTTTGTATTCCTATGAAGTATCTAGACTTTGATATCTGAAAAATTCATACTAGAGCTTAATTAGAACCATAACCCAAATTTACCAAATTCAATCCTTGTACTGGAAAAAATATAGATAGAACATTGACATTAGATGAAATATAATATATTTTAATTAAAAATTATGAAGAAATTGAATGCATCGTAATCACGAAAAACAATAAGTTAAACTTACCGAATTATTTTAAAATGTGATAAATGAATGACTAAAATTGATTAAGGAACTTAGATTTTGACTATTTCTCACGCAAATAGTGTTTCTTGACTTTGTAATGTCCTTTGCTATTTTAATTTCAAATGTTATTGGATAGGAGGAAAGATTGATGCGTCTGAAGAACAACATTTGAACATGCATATTTGTACATTATATGTTTTTTCGAGTGAACTTGGTATGTTGTATTGTATGGTGTGTCCGAATTACGATGCGAGAGAGGCATTTTCCAAAATAGAACAGTATTAGGAGTACTGATGCTCTGATGCAATTTTAAAGCTTGTTTGAAATTAGGGAGTGTTGTGATGGCATAGGGTAGCTTGCACATAATGGCGTCAACAGATTTTGTTGGTGCTTTTGACAAAGCTACAACAGAAAGAGGGTACATGAAAGAGACCGGGAGACACTTCACATGATGGAGTTGAGACGACATTACAAGAGAAGAAAAAACAAAGCCATACATCTTTTGGTACTTGAATGGGTAGAAATTAATAAAATTTCATAACCATACATCTCTAAGAAGGATTGGTGATGAGTAATATCTACAAAGCCATTCAAGTGCTTTAACTACAAGCTTGGATCGGAAGAACTTATTCTTAATATGGTATTAGAAAACTTCATGAACAAGTGGACTAGAATTCATTCCCTGTTTCACTTTTTCCATAATTATGTTGAGAATCTGTTCAAGGTAGAGTGAGCATGAGCAGTGAGCAGTTCTCTGCTCAAACTTCAAAGGGTTCTTGGATGAATAGTCATGATAAAAACATTTGTATAACTTCACCTAAGGAAACACCATATCTAGATAGAAAGGAAGTAAACGAGTTTGAGTACAGACAGAGTAAAAAACTTCATTTTGTATTAAATAGTGTATCACAGAATCTATAGTCATTATTTGACAACATTGGTAGATCACAGAATCAAATAATCCAAACCAGAATCTATCTACATTTGAACCTAATAAAAAATAACAATCAAATTTTCTATATGATTACTAAACCTATTGCAAAGCTAAGGAATTAAACACATCAAAAAAGCTAATATTGATCAGCGAAAATACAAACTCATAATTTACATTGAATGCTTTCACTCAATCTAATCAAGAACTTACAAACTAACATCATTGGTAAGACCATTACATTTTCCTACGCCAAATGCAGACTAAAAACTCAAATTTTTCTACTTAATATTTGCAAATGCAATTGAAAGAGATAAACAAAAAATAAAAACAAGGTAATCATGTAATATAATGTAACTATATCCTAGTGTACCCTGTTGGATTGGTATTGAAACTAGCATCAACAACCGAAAACAAATCTCCATGAAAGATCTCTACTTGATCTAAATACAAATCATCAACACTCCGAAAAGCCGAATGCAAAACAACCACCGCAGCAGCAAGAAGAACCGAGAGCAAGACGTTGAGCCACACACCGGTGAAAACAAGCGCGACGACGGTGAGGGAGGAGAGTGCGGCGAGGAGGAAGCGGTCGTCGATGGAGCAACTTAGGAAGACGACAGGGCGATCACGGAAGAAGAAGAGAAAGAACCAGGCGGCGAAGACGGCGAGGAAGACGATGAGTGAGAGCGGGTGCCAGAGGAGACTGAGGAAGAGGGTGAAGAGGATTATCATGGCGTAGTTGATTCGGAAATGGTTGAGGTTGCGTTTTATTCGGTGGGTGGATTCGTTGAGGGAGTGAGGAGGAGTGAAGGATTGGAGAGAGAAGAAGGTTTCCCATGGGCGGCGCGTGGGGTAGTTGGAGGGTGTGGTGGCGCGTGGGGGAAATGAGGTTGTAGGGAGAGAATTGTAACTCGGTGAAGATGAATTTGGATTAATGGAAGACATTGCATTCAGAATTTGAAAAAGAAACCCTAATTCAGTTTTTATTTATATGTTTTGTAAAGTATGTCAGTGACGATGATCTCGTGATTTTCTTTCCTTATCCGTGTTGTTTTTGTGTAAAATGTAAACACGTCTTCATCTCATCATTGGATTTTCTTTTCTCGAACAAGCTATTTATCAAGCTTACCAAAAACACCAATAACTTGACTTTTGTTTCTACTTTAACAAACACTATTTTGACTGATTATGAAGAAAAGCTAAATTCTTTTGATTTTTTTGTAAACTTTTCTTGTAAGCCAAATTGAAAATTTTTTTTAATGATTAAATAATAGATATTTATCCTATCAAACTCAAAAGTACCATTGCATTCACTGTTTTTTTTAATCCTTTGATTTCTACATGAAGAAAGTTTTGGAAATTTAAAATTCAATCTAAATAGGATTTGATTGAGTATTATATTTACACGAATTCTATATGTAACGAGTAATAAAAGAAAATATCAATCTACCATGTTGGTGCATTTCTTTTACATATCATGGAAGAACCTATAGTTCTTGATATCTTCCACTATGGCCCTCACTGCACCAATACAACCCAAAACAGCAACAAGTGAGAACCAGGAAGCTATTACAATATTTAACGGCTTCATCAAAATTCCAAGTTTGGAGTTTTTGGTTATGTTTCCAGCTTTAAGATATGCTAAAGCAGGAAACACAAAGTCCAAAGGAGTAAACCCAATTGCCCCACAAATGGACACAAAATCCCCAAAAAATGGCACAGCTGCAGCAATAAGAGTAACAAGAGTCATGTATATGGAAGTATAAAAAAGCCGTATCAGTTGACTTCTTAGAGGGAAATGGCTTGTAGATTTGTTGGATTCTATGCTTCCCTCAAAATAGGTGTAAGTTGGTCTGCAATAAATCTGATAAATGATGCAAGGAGCTCATTAGTAAATGTATTTGAATTTTGAACCATAATAGTATGAAATTGTTAGAATGGTAACTCTGATTCGAAAGTATAAAGATTTGAAAAAGGCAAACATAGAATAAATTTGATCACCAAGTTCGATCAACTGTAACTAGGTCTCGGGCTACAAGTGATATTAAAAAATAATGGCATGGACTCAAGAAGTTCGAAACAGAAACATACTCTAAATTTGAAGTGCAAGAGACTCTACCTGAAAGCATCCACAGATTTGAATAGCTGCAAATAAATTTGCCATAACAACAGTCCATTCTGGAATGGATAGAGAAGCTAAAATGTAAGGTTGGACTTGTGATCCGAAAGCCCAATATCCAAAGAAAGCCAACTGCCAGTAACTCAAAACAATCACAGTGTATGCTGCTGATATGCTTTTGTACATGTTCTTCTTTGCGGGTTCTTTTACCGTATTCTACAAATGAATATGTCAGAACAACAACTATGTCACAAAAGAAAATAGATACAAAAAATGCACACAAAAAAGACATGAGATTTCATTCCAGCGTTTGGTCAACTAAGTATCTAGATTTCCAAGTACATAGCAGCTGAACCACGTTTCTATTATTCAAGGTAAGGTTTTACAAATTACTGTTGCCAACCGCGTTTTAGTTTTATACAACTATGCACATACAATTCAGAGATTGCTGCATCATTCAGAAGAATGAGATACCTGTATTTCTGGAAGTATTGCATCACCAAATGAAAAGGCTATGGTTCCAAGAGCATTGAAGGCTTTGAAGGACTTGGATGCAGAACTACCCTGCAAACTGTAGTTAACTGATGTTCTATCAATCTTCTTCCCTAAAAGATGTTATTAATCAAAAACTCATAATCTTATCTGCATAAAAGGAATCAATTAGGGGTTTAGATCAGTTAAGAAATGTGGTTGGATCTAACTCAACCATACAAAACCGATTTGTAGGATGACGATTGCTCCCACTTATAAACACATATTCAGATCATATATTGTCCGATATAGGACTGTTTACAAGATCAATCACGGGTTTACCGTTGTAAATTGTGACGCCAATGGTTGTACCAGCAAATCCTATGGTACTAAAAGTGCACAATGCATTAACCCATCTGAGTGAGTGAATATCAGGTAGTTGAGAGAGCAATAATTCAAAAACTCCAAAGAAAATAATAAAATGTTGTAGCCTCAATTTTCCATCTGAGTGATAATGCTTGTAAACTGCCTATAAAAAAAGGGGAAGAATGAGGTTTTGGACATTAAAAATGATATAAATGAAAAGGCAGAAAACATGAAACATGTAATATATTTGTCTTATTATTCCATAAAAATATAAAATGTGGTTTGATGCACAAATAACCTTAAGGCTGCTCCCAGCTGCAATCTGGATAGCTATGTTATTTCCCAAAGAAGCAATTTGCTGGAACAAGGCAATAGACCAATACCCCCGGAATCCTTTAAAAATGATTAACAAACTATTAAAGAATGTTTATGGATAATATTTGTGAACTGCAGCTACCACAAAGTTGCAAATAAAATACTTGATTATTGACATGTGATAACAAACTCAAGGTTTCAAATAAAGGTCGCCGCCGTGTTGTGGTCACGTAAAGACTTTCGTAATTACAGTCGGTACAAATATTGCGATACTGATTGTAATTGTAGTGGTATAAATTAACTACAATTTATTTTTCATTATAAAATAATAAATAATAGTATCGGTATTGACACCTATTTTGTGACAGCATCAATTTTTTTCTATTTATAATATGTAAATTGATAATTTAATATCAAATCAGAAGCGTGGAGGGCTCATAATACACTCGTCCCTAGACTCATGACCAAAAAATCTTATTTTCTTATCAAAATAAAAAAGTTACTCACCAAAAAGACTTTGTGCAAGATGTCTATAGGTAAGATGTTTATCTCCATTCCATTTCCATAAAGAAGCAATCAAAATGCTTGAGTACCATGTTGCTAGTGTTGCACTCACTAGGCTACTCACACCTGAAATGAGGAACAAGCAAAAAAAAAAGTTTATAATTGCATAGTATTTAGCATGAAGATGGAAAGAGGGACTGACCGAGAGGCCAGCCAAGAGAAGCAAGAGCAAAGGGCAAGGGAGCATAAGCTGCAGGAGTAGCAATTGTGGTGGCAACATGAAAAGCTGCGTGCTTCCACGTTCCTTTACCACTCACTCCATTTTTTTCCTCCTCCTCCTCCACCGTTGATCTATGCTCTGGTGAACGTGAATCCATTCGGTTTCAGCTCCAATCAGTAGTACTGTGCTTTGGGATTTTTCCTCTAAACATTGTAACTATATCAAATGTCTTGTTTTAGTTGGACTTTGCTACATCATAAGTCGCAAGTTCATAAACACATGCATGTTTATTTTTCTACTGTGTTGAATTTTCGTTGCTTGGAGTCTAAGCTATGGACGCAATTGGAAAGCGAAAGCCTGTTGGGACTTGCGACAAAACGGTTGACCGGCAATAGTGAAAAGTAAAATAAAGAGACAAAAATATTTGTTTCTTAATTTTCTTTAGGTCATTAGACAAGGCCGCCTCCAAATCTATTCTCACAAAATATTCCCAATATCCACAATATATGGATTTGAGCTTCCATATTAAGAGCTATGAATATCTTGAATATCAATATAAAATCTCATATTTATCAATCTTGGATGCCACATAGGATTACTAAATATTTTCATAATATTCAGTAATTTAATCACAACAAATGAATCCAAATTGTCAGCCGTAACATATTTGATGTCTTATATTTCTGGTTAGTACATCCTGTTCGACATATTCAAACAACAAGTTGAAACAACTTCCCAACTGCAAAACTGTAACAGTCCAGATGTCTTGCTCTTCTGGTTAGGACATCACATTCGACATGTTGAAATTGTAAGTTGAAATATTTTCCAAACTACAAAACTGTAACAGACCATATGTCATATACTTCTGGTTAGGACATCACACTCGACATGTTGAATGTGCAACTTGAAACATCTTGTTCAATCATAATTTCTAGAAATAACAATCTCCCCCTTTGACAAATTTTGGCTAAAACAACCAAATAACCCGTGCACAAGAAAGCACCATAATCATGTTTGAAAATTCCTCAAACACACACATCAAAGGCACAACAGCAAAACAAACATAACAGCAGACTTATGAGCAACAATGCAAGCAGAGAAGTTAATAGTTATTCAGTCTACTAAACGCAACTGTAACAAATAGCGAAGCTAGATTCTCAACACCATGATGTCAAGACATCATGTCTGACATCTCTTCAGACCCCTTCAGTCTAAAACAGTAGGGACTTCCTCTCAACACCTGTTATCACACCAGAGAATCAGAGATTCTCTCCCTCAATAGCAGTCATCAATTAGTGGTTCAGCAATTAGTGGTTAATGTGCACACACACACAAACATACTTCTCCCCCCTTTTTAGTCATAATATGACAAAGGAAACAACTAACCAAAATAAATCATAGTAGCACAAACAAGCTTCTTCATCAACAAAGTCTAGGATAACTCCCAGACTTAACCATAAGCACAGAAGCATAAATACAATTTCTTCCACTAGACTCCAAATGCACTCCTTTCAGCCTTCAAGAGTGACGCAACACAAGATACCAAAACATCACAAGTGGTATCTCCAAGCAAACCATACACTAGGCCCCATCAAACACTGCAGAAAAATAAATTCTTACAGACAAATCATACTGTCTCTTGGAGTAGAACAGTGCAGACTAGTGTTGCAGCGGTATAGCGGCAAGTAAAAAGTGAAGTATTAATTTATCGGATGATATAGGTTATATCATATCGTGTTCACATAGATTGGTTATTGAATCGCTGTTCGATAAATTCTCGCGTTTATGAGTTTGATTTTAAATGGATTTTTGTATGTAAGGTGTTGAAGTTAAAAGTTATACACAAGAAGAATTTCATTATTCGAATAGGATAAAACTCTCGACTTTGTATTTCATCTACCCCATCAAATACTTAAACTTACTACTCAGTTATACTTAACCTTAACTACTCATCAATATCATCATGTATCACTCACACAGAGGTCATTTCTAACGCAGAGCAAGATATCAACCGTGTCGCTCTGTGTCGACGATCTCTCAGCACAATACAAAACAACACGGAGACATTAAAAGTCGATACCTAAGTGATTACTAAGCCTAAATCTATCTCTAGAGTCTAAGCCTAATAGATATTCATCCTAAATCCAGATTCAATTCGTCTATCTCTGTAACAACTCAAATCCAGACACTTAACAAGCTAACAAGGATAAACATCAATAAAGATTTGTAAAGAAAATTTCATATAACACCATGAGTAATAAATATACATATAATCAAGGTAAAGTTACATACAAAATCCAACAAATAATGGTTACAAGAGAGGAAGAGGAAAAGAAACCATATATTGCAGTGTCAAACATGATCCATCAAGCTCACGATCCCGGATCATCCATTTGTAGCCATAAATATTATTGTCTAAGCTCTAACTATAAAAAAATGAAGGATGATGGAGTTGGAGTAAAAAATACCCAAAACCATAACAAAAAAAATATGTTTTTACCCCTAAATACGTATTTCTGACTGTCTTGCATCGCCCGACGATAAAAAAATCATCGCCCAGCGACCAAAACTTTGTTTTCTCCACGCTTCAGGTCGCCCCAGCGTCTCCTGGCGACCAAAAAGCGTCGTTTGGCGATGGCTGACAGTAAGTTGATAAATCAGCACAGTTTCAGCAATAAGTTGAGAATCGTAACTCCGATTCGCGCACGGTCGGAAGCGTTGAAAAGCTTATTCAATGCTCTTTATAACAATGCATAAATATCAATGTTTGAATACCTACAAAAATAAGATAAAATCAATTAAACTCAATAATATTTACACGATAACGCAATAAATACACTATAATGTAAACTATACCGAATATACACTAAATTGAGGTTTATTGACAAAAAGAAAACAAATTAAGCCAATGAGTGCTAATTATTCACACTCAAATTTACAACAATTTAGCACTGATCAACTAGCTTCTCATGGCTAGAATCATACAGACCCAATTAAGGGCATACATAGCTACACCTTATAGCCATATGTCACGACATGTTGTCTGACATCTCAATCTCATAGAAACTTCACAAGCTTGTTCAGGACGCAAGCTTTAAACAATTTGCATTATTGTAGCAACAATCCATAAACAAGACCTAACTCCCCATGTCATGGATAACCAGATCTCCTGCAGAGGATAAAACACTTTCGCACACAGAGAACTTCACAATCTCAAAGTGAAGAGCCACAAATTCACACACTTTTCGAACTATATCGACACCCTTGTGAATATAAACAATCTTGATCCTGATACCCCGACTCCAGGTATTTAGACTTCTTCAAGGCCATATCTGATTCATGGTCTTACAGAACCACATAAGTTGTCATACCTCTTTTAGATAACCAAGATGTCGTGCACACATGCTTGGACATCAACACAAACACAAACAATCAAAAAACTTTTATACATACCAGGCTGACATACTTGCAATAGAGGAAAAACCACCTTCTTCACAATCTTCCTGATCAAATCATACTATCCGATCCTAGTCCTCTGCACTTAGATTCACTAGTAATTGCTGATACTATTGAAGTCTTCAACATAGTAGTCATACATTCTCCAAGCATGTTACTATAGACAGAATCGAAATCTGCACATTTTGATCCACAAAGTCAGACTTCATTTTCTGACAACAAAGTTGATCCCCAATCCTCCATAATCATAATCCCAGACCTTCTTCAGAGATAACAAACAAAATGATGTGACGACATCATTTAGGACATCAACTTTTCTTTACAAAACCTAATTAAATGGTTCTTGATTTATCATTCAAAGAGCTCATTATACTTGATAGTCCTTTCAAACAATAAGACCTCAAAAGCATACACCTTCTACAGCTTATTCAGGTAATCATAGACACCTAAGTACCCAATGAGATAAATAAACTCTCATAAACTTTCTAAACCAAAGAGTTCAGAAACCAGATTTTCATCCACACATCTGATAAGTACCCAACTCCTAACAAGGTCTTTACCATCAGTAACATGCACATCTTCATAAGATCAAACTTATATCCAGCTCCCGACAAGGTATTTGCAATCAGAGGAATACTTCCCCACAGACTACACATGATGCTCCCCTTTAACAAATGTTCAAACATTTATTCTGACATCCTTCTTCTTCACATTCCTAGCACAAGAGGATTCTTCACAAATTCCAGACTTGATCAGAGACTGGACTTCATACCACATGATGGTTAAACATTACAATTTTGGAATACATTGGTGATGAGCAATGCTCACCCCCATGATCAGTCTAGCTTTCTTCTGAAGCAACAAACCCACCTGAGATGATGTTCCGACATTAGATAAGACATCAATCTCAATCATATGAGTCCACCAATTACTATAGTTCTGGAGATAACACCCATAGTAAATCCATACAAACACTCTTGAAGGATAACATAAGAGATCCATACTTCAGCAACTGACCATATATGCAGATCAAAAATCAGTAGCTGACACCAAACCCTATGAGGTTTCTTCATAAGCACAATTTCCATATTTCTTGTCTGCCTTTGAGATGTTAAACACCATCCTTGTACAAAAAAAATCCCTCTATCATGCATACCACAACACACAGGGTTTTGCATGATTATAAACCCTTCAAACAGATTGTCCAAAAAATAAAACTTATGCTTCTCCCAATCCTTATAGATATCTCATCATAACTGTAACTTATGGATGTGTGAAAAACACAAGAAAGGGGGGTTTGAATTAGGTTTTAAACAAAAAAAATTCTTTAAAAATCCCATTTTAACAAAAACATGTTTTCTTCACTTATTGATAATAATGATAAGATGCAAGAAGGAAAGAACAAGTTAAGTTTATACTAGTTCACTTGAAAACTATCAAGTTAGTCTAGTCTACTCGCCAAGGTGCTATCGCCTTTCTCAACAAGGTCTTAATCCAATAATCACACAGATTATTACAATGCATAAGCTAACTGCAAGTGACTAACATTACAACCTTTAAGACACACTAATCTTAGACTTCCCAAGGATTCCAATCAACATGTCCCTTAAGGAAAATCAAACAATTGTTTGAACAAAGTTTGTTTACAAAAGATCTGCTTCTACACAAGCGAATATGTTAACAGTATTTCAAGAATATAGA